AAATTGTGTAGCAATCCTAAAACAAAATTGTTTGTTACAACTGGACTAAATATGGACCAGCATTTTCCTTTAAGCAAAGTATCTGTTGTAGTATCAACCAGCTATTAATTGTTTATTTGCTTTTGCAGTGCATACCCAGTCTCCTGCAAGTAGTATACTGTACTGCCAGTAATTTAATGTGCTGTGTTGTAATAGTGTCTCTGAGGATCTGGTATTCTACTCCATCAAACTTCTAGCAACTTTTTTCATTTCCTTGAAACTAATTAGGTGACAAAATACCTGACAGCAATGTTTTCTAGCAGTCACTTTAGATAACTGTGGTGAGTTACGTAAGTCTAAACCAGATAGATGATTCAGAGTGAGAGTGCCAGTATGCTATAAAAGGTACAATCATGAAGCAGAAAGGAGTGAAAAATGATTTTTCATGAGCAAATTGTGTTTGGACAAACTTTCTTGCTTGTGTACTGTCACACTAGATCTGACTTTCTCAGTTGAGTCAGCTTCCCAGAATTCATGGAAGAAATTAGCCTTAGTTTTCTCATTGTGAAACCAGCATAGTATGTTTGAAAATCAGATAAGAATTAGATCCTAGTTCCATAAATCTCTAGTAGCTCAGTGATGCAATCATGTAGGTGTAACCCTACAGGGATGCTTAAAGGATTCTAGGTGGATTTTTTTGCATTAGTTGGTTAATGATGTAGAAATCTTCCAAATTGCAAAGAGCATGTAAAATGAGATCATGCAGGTAAAAAGGTAAGGCCTGTTTTTCTATTGTTGGTTTTTTTATATATGGGTTTTATTTGGTTTGGGTTTTGATTTTGATTTTGTTTTGATTTTGTTTTGTTTTGTTTCCTTTTATACTGATACTAAAACTTCTATTTATTATACTTACTGCAAGTAGTTTTAAAATAGTGTAAAATCCATTGAGTCGCATGAAATCACCCCTTATCTACAGCATTCCAGAAGAGAATCATATTGAAAAGGTCAGCCTGACATTCACCAGTAAGGAACTTAGTCAGGTGTTTTATTATGTGAAACATATTTCTTTGGATTCTTTTTTCAGTAATCACAATATTTAAAGGTAAAGTGGAAGAAGTTGAATTACCTGTGGATAAAGTAGACATCATCATCAGCGAGTGGATGGGTTACTGTCTGTTCTATGAGTCAATGTTAAACACAGTCATCTTCGCACGAGACAAGTGGCTGGTAGGTGCTCTGCATGTCATACTCCTTGTTGGAGCAATTGTCATTTATTTTCTGACTACAAGCCTTCCCTCTCCTACTGTCACCATAACAAGACACAGTTACATCTGCAAGTGCCATTTCTTAGGCTTTAACTAAGAGATTAACAAAGCGAATCTCAGAGAAAGAGCTTTGGTTTTGATTAACTGCTGGTGAAATTCATGTAGACACTACCTAATGACATTGCCACAGGCTGCAAGAGTTGCTGAGGCTAAAGCTGATGTGACAATCTGCAGGAAAACAATAATGGCATGCAAGGGGTGCTTGTCTGGTTTTTGTATGTGCAGTTCAAAATGTGATGTCTTTGTCAGGTGAATAGATTACGAGATCCATTTCCCCACAATTCATCAACAGAAACCTGGAGGGCTAATGTTTCCGGACCGAGCTGCTTTGTACGTGGTAGCAATTGAAGACAGACAGTACAAGGACTTCAAAATTCACTGTGAGTGAATGCCTAACAGTAACCCTTTTGCTGTGGCTATATCCCTAAAATATTGTATTTATAGTGGCATACTGTAATCTCTTTACTGGCAAAGTTTTGCAAAAGCCAAGAAATCATGCTGACCAGACCAGAATTCCAATATAAACATGAGCACTGAGAGATGCTAGTCCAGTGATAAATTCAGGAAACTTGCAGTAATTTAAAGTGCAGGAAGAAAAGATGCATGAATAAATTGATGTAGATATGACACATAGTTGTACTGGTACCTCTACCTCTATTTTGAAATGTGGATTTTAGGACATTTAGTTTTGTTGTTGTTTTGATAAATATGTCATCCTGCATAACTGCCATTAAAATTAGTAATACTCTCTTGCCATCCAGGTACTGGGTTTTGTTTTTAAAATAACAAGAATAGAAAAATTAATAGAATGCAAATGAATTGTAAATGTTAAGAAAAATAAGCCTAGAAAAAATGGTATCTCATTAATAATCTTGTCAAGAAGAAAAAATCATGTAATGCTTTTTTAACTTTTTAAAACACTTTGAGAAATTTAAAATGAAAAATAAGTATCAGAAATTTCCATTTTACTCTGATGTGAAAAAAGTTCTAGTTGTTTTTGTTTTACTTCATAGATGCATAAAATTGGCTTTTCCTTTACATTTAAAATGTTTGGGGTTTTTGTTCCTTGAAGTTTCGTTTAATAACTGGTGCTGTTAGTGACCCTAGTCCGGCCTCCTTCTCAAAGCAGGCCAAATTTCCCACTTAAAGCAGGTCACTCAGGTCCCCAGGGATTCTATAGTTTCTCTGGGCACTTGTTCAAATGCGGAAGTACCCTCAGGTGTAAAGATGTTTCTAAATATCCATTCCTTGCTGAAACTTGCCTTCATTGTCCCTTGTTACCTGAAGAGAATCTGACTTTTTATTTGTTTCTGTAGCAGCAGGTAGCAATTAGATCCCACCATTAGCCTTTGCTGTCCCAGGCTAAGCAATCCAAGTTTTCTTGGATGCTTCTCATATCACTTTCATCATGACAAGGTTATACTCCTGGTTCATGCTCAACTTGTTGTCCCTCAGGTCACCCAAGTTTGGATTTATTTGGTCATAATAGTTTTGATGAAATAAGTAAGTTCTACATTATTTCACTCTTTTTTTTTTTAACTTTTATTTATTTTCCAGAGCTGGTCAATTTCACTTAAAGGCATTTTCCCTTAGTGGAAAAATAAATCAGAGAATTCCTAAGCAGTTTCATTAACTAAAGATACACACAAAAGCTTGGGTAAAATTAGTGGGTTCAGTCAGCCTTTAATTGAAAATGCCTAGCTCCTCATTCCTTGCATTGCATCTCCTCTCAGAAAAGAAAGTTTGGTGTTTCTGTAATCAAATTCAGTGCCAAAATACAAAACTGCCAATGGATCAAAATTGCCATTTTGGGTCAAAAGCAAGCCCAGTGCAGTGGGGCAGTGAGAAGTCTGCATTGGTGCGAGGGAGAATTATATCTATTCTTCAAGTACAGCCTAGATTTTTACCCTCAGTTATGTGATGACCTTGACAACTAAATTCCTTACAAAATTTAGATTCAAAAGGATGTATGAGGCATCCATTCTGCAAAGGATTCGAAGCCACTGTGGCCTAAAAAAAAAAAATCCCTTATGCCTTCTTTCACCTTGCTTTTGAATCCTTTCTAGACCTTGAGCCTTTTTTTCTCACAGACAATACACCTGTTTTATACTCGTTTATTTTTTTATTATTAAAAAATGTTTGGGGGCTTTCTTCTCTTCTAAAATGTTGTTTTCCTTTAAGACACTTTCTTTTCTGATTTCACCTCTGATTCCCCTTCCCCCTCACTTTTTATACCTCTATATCTTCTTCAGTTATTTCCATCTCACTACCTATCTACATCACCACCTTGTCTCTCATTTCAGTTTATAAATGATGGTGTCACCTTACATTTCACTTTTTCACCTTTCTTTTTTCTCCCTTAAGGTGGATAGAGTCTTGCCTTCATATGAGATGCAGGGCTGAGCATTTCAAAAGGCACTCAAGAACCATCGTATTGACTAAGAAATAATACAATATGAGGTTTCTAAAAAAATCTAACTGCTGATTTCTTAAACTTTATTAGTGCCACAGACTATTACTACAGTCAATTACTCTGATTTCCTAGGACATGTAAAACATGTAATTTTATCTTTTAACTCCTGCAATAGGTCTCTGTCTTATACAGACCGTGTCATATATTTCACAGGCATCCCACGTAGGCTGAAGTACATCAAGTGGAGGCCTCAACAACTCTGTTAATTAAGTGTGTTTAATTCATGGCTTCCTAGCTAATCTTTTCTGAGTAACCACGTAAAGGCATATGGCTTTTATAAATATAATCTGAAGTTCCCACATGCTCATGATGCCTGAAACAAAAGTTTGATCACCAGCTCCCTTGAAATATTAAGAAACTCACAGCCCAGTAAGGATGTGTAAGAACTGTTCATGTCCAGATTTCTTCCAATTTAGAAACAGACATTTTGTGCTCATACTACATTTTCAGTCCTCTGAGAACACCAGTAGCTCAAATGCTATGATCTGAAAAAACAAGACATGCTCACTATTACTGTTTATCAGTTTACCTTGCTTGCATTCAAACCATTTTTTAAAAAGATCACAGTATTCAGTTTAGACTTTCAGACGGAGCACTGAATGGACCTTGACTCATATGATTCATAAGACTAAGATTTAACTTTTTTTGGAGGTTTTTGTTTTCATTTTGTTAAGCAATCTTAAAAGCAAAGCCAGTGTACTTGTCAGTGTTTCAAAGTTTCAATGTTTTCATTTTGTTCAAGAAAAAAAAAAAGAAGAAGAAAGACCTCAGCAAGAAAAGAAGCATTTATCAGAACAATCAGAAAAACAGTTTAACTATTGAAGATTAGTATGGCTTTTAAATCTTTTAGAAAATCTGTTTAAATCTTTAGATAATCTTTTAAAATCTTTTTTGTCACAATGCACATGCAGATTAAAACTTGGGTGCCCCAAATATTGAAACACATCTGTAATTCTACTCCTTTCAGTGATTCACTTGCTGAAACAAAGACTGCGTAAATAATTAAAAGAGCATGCAAAATGCTGATTGAATAGCAATCTACTAAAAAAGAAAATATTAACCAAAATGGATAGGAAAGGATAGAACAATCTTAGCAGCTATTTGCAAGTCTCAGCATGACATATTACATGATTTTGGACAGCACTCTCAATTGTCTAAAGCCATGAAAATCATCAACAAATCTCATATAACACAGTTCTGGGGACACCAAAAACCAAGGGCCACTTGTTCAAAGATGTACATTGAGGGGTTGTTTTCCCCCAATTGCATTCTTTGTAAAATAGCAATGATTACATGGACAACTGGGGCAGGGAGCAAAGAGCTAAAGAGGAGAGCTGAAAGTTAGGGGGTGGTAGAAATTCTTTCAAATGAAAGATGCTTTGAGAAACAGATATTTTTATTATTACTGCTAATCTTTGACACATCCATTTGCATTGACAGGGTGGGAGAATGTGTACGGCTTTGACATGACCTGTATTAGGGATGTTGCCATGAAGGAGCCTTTGGTGGACATAGTAGATCCAAAGCAAGTGGTGACCAATGCCTGTTTAATAAAGGTTTGGTAATTCCAAATATACTTAATTATGAATGTTTACACCTAAATGTAGGATTCTTTGGAGTCCTGCTGCTTATGTTTTACTGCTCTCTTCGCATGCTTCTAAATAGCTGCAGAAGTCATCATCATAGAATGCTATCACACTAAGAAGGAAAATAGTGCAGTTTTAAATTAGTCAGTACTAGTATGTTGCATATGCCCAATGCTGTCACCTGAGCTAAGCGCGATCATTGATACCTTGATCACTTATGAAATACCCAAAAGCAATATATGCTTCTTGTGACTCTGTACTCATCTGGCTACTGCTAACTGTAACTTAAGACAAGTTATACATGTGCAAATACTGGATAAATAGAGACATGGTGTATTTAGATATTAATTTTAATGGACCTACCTTCTTGTAACAAGAGGTTGGAAATTACTGATGGGATGCTGCTGAGGGAAAGGGGCAAATTAGTTCTGTTTTCAGTTAAAAAAGACTGAAGCATCAGTTCCTGAATTGGTCAGCTCTGGTGAAATAGCTCTAATATACTCCAAAGCTTGAGATCAAAATTGGAACCTAATTTATTTGTTTAACTTCCTAATTCTTAGCCTTATCCAGAATGCTACTGCGCTCTCCCAGCCCCAACATCTGCAGCCAGAGGTTAGCATGTATCCTGTTCTACATATAAGACAGAATGGTCACTACTCCCCATTCACAAGACCATGTTAAGAATCCATAGCCTGAAGGAACACATGAAAGCTCCAAAATGACTTCCATATCAAGGAATCCTCCACATGTGGAACTACTCTCATGAGTAAGGCTGTCCACATCAAGAACAGTGGAACAGAAGGATCAGGTCCATGAATGCAAGAGCATGCTCATTTATCCCAAAGACTCACTTCTAATTTCCCCCTTTCCATTTCTGCCAGTAGCGAACACAGCATTAAGTATTCCCATATGCAAAAAGGGAATACCTTTACTCTGCAGAACATTTACTGCAAGAAGGAGCAGCAAAAAGGAACAGAAGTAGAAACCGTCTGCGAATACGTATGCATGCAAAGCCCATCTGCACTCAGGGGAACACAAGATGGTTGTGTCTGAAAACAGCCTGAGCCAAAGCAATTTAAAATTGCAGTACACTCAATATAAGCAGCTATTCAGACTGCATAAAATGTGTCTGGAGATTGAGATCCAGTGGCAAAATGAGTTGGCTTCTCTGGAATAAAAACTTATAAAAGATGCAAGCCCTTAAGTGAAGTGCAAATCAAACACTTTCTTTAGAAGATCTGTGAAAGTAATTGGGTCTAAGAAGACAGACAAAATTTTTCAAACTGTTCCTATTCAGGTTTTATATTTAATTCTACATGGCCTGGCATTGTTTGTCCACACACTGAATAGTGCTTTACTGTGTAATGGCACCATGGGAGCAAAGCGGGTAGGAACTGCACAAGCAGAAACCACTCTCCATTCCAGAATCTGTCCCTAATCTCACAAACTGATCACCAAAAAATGAGAAAATTGCCAATGAAAGGCAGGAAGGAGGGAGACTTGTGTTCAGGTGAGCAATATGGAAGGAGGAAAAACGGAGGCTGCATTTCTTTTTTAAATTTACTTTTGCACTTGGTTTATTTGTATAAAGTGCATTTCTTTGATGTTGAAAATATTTGTGAATTCAGAGAATAATATTAACCTAAGAAAACATTTGAGAATAAACAAAGCAATAATGTTTAATTTTTATTATACCATTTCAAGATGGCACAGCTTATTCATATTAAATTCACAGAGGGATTTTTTTTTTAGGGGTGTATTCAACCCCAAACCAGCTAACTTAGGGTGCCTACCAGATGAGTCTGGGTACCCTGTACATTAGTCAGTAGACAGACTAGTCACTAGATGCATTCCTAACAGACCAATCATAGTCCTGTGCTTTTCAGTTCTTTCAGTCCCAAATTTAGATGCTCTAAATTGTTCTACAAAATCAGCAAAAGAAGACATCAATTTCTTCATGCTATGTAACCATGACACTTAGCTAGAATGCAGGAAACCTGAGTAAAATTCCCTCTGTACACTTAAGGAATTGGATGTAACCCAAGTCTTGACCCCTTTAAGGAACTCTAGACACTAAGCCAGAGGTGCACTGGGGGTTGTGCATGCAGGGAATACAACATCTTCTCTGTTGGGAAAGGAATTCCTCTTTGAATAATCTCTTAAATATATCTCAGGAGCACAGGAATTTTCCTGGCAAGTAGGGGTCCTCTGTTTAAATTCCAAACCAAATCAGCAAGGGAGAGTAGTGGGACCAAAGCACCTTCAAACCACCAGAGTTGATAACTGATCTCATGTAAAGTATTCAAGTGTCCTTGAGGACCACTGAGGGCCTACTTCATTGCCTGAAAAAAACTGAAAAGTTTGTTTCAAACTCAGTAAAACTGTTCCTTTTTCTTCTCTGAATCCCTTGCATATTAGAGAAATACAAAAGGGTTCGGGTTCACATAAAAGTTTTTCTCCGTGTTAATTTTTATTTGGCGTCAGCACCAGAGACTAAAATAACAACAAATCAATTTTTCACGCAGCTGTAGAAAAAACTGCAATGAGACAGTGACAAAAATTCACAGAAGCAAACAACCATGAAGAACGTGCCACATCCAGTTTATTAAAAATAATACTGTGGGACTTTCCTGAATATGCTCTACTATCTAGCCACAAGGAAAAAAAAATCTACTTTTATGCTCCCATTTGGCCCATACTTTCCAGGAACAGTTTAAGATCCTGCAGGTCACACACCACTTTAAGATTACACAGTTTAATGCTACTTAAAGCACAAACTGCCTTCCCGGCACAAAAAAAGTTATGCACCATTCTTGTTTATCAGAGAACATGGCATAATAGCAACAAACCATTATCCTATATAATCAAATACCCAGTTCTTCAAGAAATTTCCACTGTTTTGGAAAAATCATGATTCACATGTATGAAGCCTTATTTCAAAGAACCTGCAGCATTTTCTGCAGAAAGGTAGTGTTGCCCAGAGAAAACCAGCCACACAGGTGAGGACCTGTCTGTAAGCTCCAATGAGTCCCATGTTCTCCCATAGTAATCTTGACCTGTGAGGTTTAGGACAAGTCATTCCTTATGAAATTTTTCTCTTGCTCCACTGCAACTTCAGTGAACTCTCTAATCACATTCCTTTCTCCCATCTTCTCCTACAGTAAAACAAGAAGCACCTATACCACTCATTTTCCACCTTTCTTCAAACACTGCTCCTTTTTTTCACATTTTTCTTCTCTTTTCTCCACACGAAACTCTCCCTTCCCTTTCCTAAGTGACTTTCTCTGTCACTCTTTCTTATCCAACAGTTTTTCCACAGTCAGCTGTAATTAACATAATGTGAACAGTGACATTTAATATAAGAATGCATAAAGGCCAGAGTAAGATTCAAAGAGATCACCAAAACAGGATCAGGCCAGTTTCAAAACTAGATTAATTAATAAGAAAACCCACATTTGTCTCATCTATTACATAGTGAAAAAGGATGGCTTTGTTCTGGAAAAAAAGGCTGCAAAAGTGACCACCATTTTAGCCAGCACAATTGTTCAATATTTCTAAGACATTTGTACTAACTTTTCTAATAAATATATTTCCTACTGCTTTTGATTCCACTTTACCCTGCAGAACCAATACAGCTCAGAGAAGCAAGCTAAATCCCTTTGATATGCCTCATCATTGGACATAATTCACAATTTCCTCACAGTGATACCATTAAAAAGCCACCACAAACTACAGAAATCTGCAGCTATTACCCATCAGTCCAGTCTAGATGTCACAGCAAGTTTTCCAGGCTGCTATGGAAGTCTGACAAGAGATTTCAGAAATTCTTATTCCTAGCATGGATTTTTTTTAAAACTTCTTTGAGAAAAACGAAACAAAACAAATAATTTTAAGGCTATCCCAGCTTTAAATTATCACTGATAAGCATGGGTCACTTATAAACACTAGTGACTCAGGGTGTCATTGCAATGTAGTGGAATAATTTTTCATTATGTTTGAGTTATTCTTGAACAATATTACTAATAAGACAGGCCAAATCTATAGCTTGCTTAAATCATCTCACTCATCTTTAAGTCTCAGAAACACACGATATGTGGTCCATGCAGACACCTCAGTAACTGAAATATGGCAGCATCTCTTGATGTCTACTTTTGCGGACTTCTTGTAGATTACAGAATGCAGTTGCTGAAAGAGCACTCTATTGTGCCTGAAAAGAGGCTAGAAGAGCCCCCTAATGGATATTCTGGACCCTGCTGTCCATTTTCGCAGTGTGAGCATGGAGTAATGCTGGTGAGGTCAGTGATAGGATTCCTGGCTTATGTTGGTAGAGTAGAGGAAATCTGGATTTCTGCCAACAAAGCTGCTACTTCTCTGTAAGCATGAGCAGTTTTATTGTTAATACTCACTTTCTGAATAATAGAGAGAAAAATATTTGGGGGTATCTGGCTCTTGCCAAAAATGCCCTGACAAAGACAATAAGGACAGTGAAGCCAGATACACTTATGAGGATATCAAAAAGTGCACTGATAGGAAACATTTCCCATAGCAGTAGAATATGATTAATAGTATTTCAGACTTAGTATCCTCCCTATCATGACTACGTTCTGTAAACAACACAGATAAAACCAATACCTAACTGGGAAAATCCGATGCATCTAAAAACCTCAGATTAAGCTCTGAACAGTGAGATTTAAATATTGATGGAAATAAGCAATCATGGAGACATCATTGCTCCCAACTACTGCAATCAAGCCACAATATGATTTACATTATTTAGCATCATAGAATCATAGTATCATTTGCTTGGAAAAGATCTTTAAGATCATCGAGTCCAACCATAACCTGTTCACTACTAAACCATGTCTCTAGGCACCTCATCTACCCATCTTTTGAATACTTTTGGGAATGGTGACTCTGCCACTTCCCTGGGCAGCCCATTCCAGTGGCTGATAACCCCCTCAGTGAAGTCCCTTTTCCTAATACCCAATCTAAACCTTCCCTGACACAGCTTGGGTGCATTTCTTCTCATCCTATCACTTATTACTCAGGAGAAGAGACCGACACCCCCCCCCCCCCCCACTCCACTCTCCTTTCAGGAGAGACCGACCCCCACCTCTCTACACCCTCCTTTCAGGCAGTTTTACAGGGTGCTAAGGTCTCCCCTCAGCCTCCTCTTCTCCAGGCAAAACACCCCCAGTTCTCTCAGCAGCTCCTCACAAGATGTGTGCTCCAGACCCCTCACCAGCTTCATTGCCCTTCTCCGGACATGCTCCAGTGCCTCGATGTCCTTGTAGTGAGGGACCCACAGATGAAGACAGGATTCGATGTATGACCTCACCAGTGGGGCACAATCACTTCCCTAGTCCTGCTGGTCACCCTATTGTTGATACAAGCCAGGATGCCATTGGCCTTCTGGCTCATATTCAGGCTGTTGACTAACACCTCCAGGTCAATTTCCTCTGGGCAGCTTTCCAGCCACCTTCCCCCAAGCCTGTAGCATAGCATGGCATTGTCATGACCCAAGTGCAGGACCCAGCAGTTGGCTGCAGCCTGTCAATCCAGCCTGTCCAGGCTAATATAATTAGTTCCCATTGTAGTCCCCTCCTGTAGAGCCTTCCTACCCTCAGGCAGATCAATGCTTCTGCCCAGCTGAGTGTCATCTGCAAACTTACTGAGGGTGCACTCAATCCCCTCGTCCAGGTCATTGATAAAGATGTTAAACAAAACTAGCCCTAACCCTAAGCCCTGGGGAAGTCCACCTGTGACTGGCCTCTAACTGGATTAAACTCCATTCACCACCATGCTCTGGGCTCAGCCATCTAGCCAGTTTTTTACCCAGCAAAGAGTATGCCTGTCCGGGCTATGGGCAACCAGTTTCCTCAACAAAATGCTGTGGGAAATGGTGTCAAAGACTTTAGTAAAGTCCAACTGCACTACATTCACAGCCTTTCCCTTATCCACTAAATGCTTCACCTTGTCATAGAAGGAGATCATGTTCGTCAAGCAGGATCTGTCTTTTCCTAAACCCATGTTGACTTGGCCTGAACACCTGGCTGTCCTGGGTGTGCTGCATGATGGCAGTCAGGATGATCTGCTCCATGACCTTCCCTGGCACCGAGGTCAGACTGACAGGCCTGTAGTTCCTTGGATCCTCCCTCTGGCCCTTCTTGTAAATGGGCATCACATTCGCCAACCTTCAGTCAAGTGGAATTTCCCCAGTCAGCCAGGACTGCTGATAGATGATGGAAAGGGGCTTCTGTCTAGTTCAAGAGTAAGATCCCTGCACTTACTATTTGGAATCAGTTGCCCAGCACAGGACTAGAAAGCATTGTAAGGAAAAAGCAGGCCCCTTTCATGCCTCAAATGTTTTGATTGCTTGACACAGTAGAAGCACATTCCCTTCCAGAGATCCTCAAACAAATCAGAAGTTTATTTTTATTTAAAAAAACCAACTCTGACATCTTTCCTCATGCTGACAGTCCCTGATGACAAAAGGTCTTAGAACTGGGACCTAAATCTTCATTACAACATCCACTGTGCCTATATTTGTCAAAGCACATTTTTACCTTCATTTTCTCCAGCTCCTGCAGCCCCTCCCTGCCATTCTCAAGAACACACACTCTTCTGATAGTGGCCTCTCTTATACTCTGATTTGATATGTTCAAATGTACCATTGATTTCTTACAGTATTAAAGGGCCACCTGTTGTCTTTGTTGCTCTACATTAAATATAGTTCTTAAGTAAATCATTTAACACTTACCTTAGAGTCACAGGCACCTGCATGTAAAGGCCTTTTTCTTTCTCCTCAAAACAGGAAGTAGATATTTATACAGTGAAGACTGAAGAATTGGCATTTACTTCTGCATTCTGCCTCCAAATTCAGCGTAATGATTACATTCATGCCTTGGTCACATATTTTAATATCGAATTTACGAAGTGCCACAAAAAGATGGGATTTTCTACAGGTAATCTGTATTTCTTTTAATTTCATTTCTATTGCTATCAGAATATCAGTGCTCCTCATCAGATGGCACATGAAGGTTTACTGTACTACCAGGTTTGAATTTCAGTGATAAATATTATTGTCACTTCAGTAGAGATAAGCAGGATGGGGAAAGGACAACTGCTTGTAGGAATTCCACAAAAACAGAGGCAGGACTTCACAATGGCTACCAAGCTCAGTGGGAATTCTCAGTGGGAATTATATCCCAGAAGTTCATGCCTATCATCAGTTATACCTAAATCCTGAGTCAGATTTCTCAGATTAGGCAGGGAATCGTTGGCTCAAAGAGAGATAGCAGCTCTGCATCCTAGTTTCTCTCAAATCTGAAACTCAACAAAAGCTCTTGCTTGTTCAGAGCCTAGAATCACAGAATCACAGAATATTAGGAGTTGGATGGGACTTCAAAAGACCATCCAGTCCAACCCCCCTGCCAGAGCAGGATCACCTAGGTCACACAGGAACACATCCAGGCAGGTTTTGAATGTCTCCAGAGAAGGAGACTCCACAACCTCTCTGGGCAGCCTGGTCCAGTGCTCTGTCACCCTCACAGTTAATAAGTTTTTCCTCATGTTCACATGGAACCTCTTATGCTCCAGCTTGCTCCCATTGCCACTTGTCCTATCATTTGACATAACTGAGAAGAGGCTGACTCCTTCCTCCTGACACTCACCCTTTACATATTTATACAAACCCATTATTTTTTTCCAAGATGTAACCACACACATACTGCTTATTTAAATGTTTCCCTGATCATTCTACAAATGTATTATACTATAGTATTTCCCACAACATGATAAACATTAGTATGTGCTGGGAAACCAAGTGTAGGGAGTGTAGGGAAACAAAGCTAGGGAGATAAGAACAATCTGCGAGGCACTGCAGTGGTATCCTAAAGCGCTAATATTTCTGAGATTGTAATGAACAAAATTAACTAAGGTGGAAAACACTTTAGGTTTTAGGCATTTTGTTTTTCCACAGAAGGTTGATTTTATTTCAGCATAAGGCAGCTCATTCATACTTCCTGACAGGTAATATAGTAAAGCCTCCAGTTTTCTGTAAAAAAAACCAGCTTTGAACAAAGGGTGTAGTTACTGGTTTGTGATGTTAACCAAAAGCTACCGTAGTGAAGGAGGTCTACTTATATTGCCAGAACTACATGAAAGTTTTTTATAGCATTGAGAACTTGGCTTTATCTCCAAAGGAAAAATGGAATGTGTTTCTGTTTTATGTGTGCATATGAATGTACATGTTTTAAGAAACATTCGTTGAATAGATTAGGATATTTGATTAATGTTTTCCAGTCAAATGTGTCCCATGAGTAAATCTGGCCCTCAAACCCAGCCATTCTTTGCTTGATGCTGAAATTCCAGTGAATAGGCATCAAAAGTGGCAAGGAAAAGGACCTATTATGCTATTGCCAGGAGTTGCTTGCTGCGGAGTAGACATAGACTTGCTCCAGTATTCATATAGAAAAACATGGCTGGGATAAAGAATTTCTTGACTCTTGGGTATATTGAGTAAAGAAGGCTTTGATGATTTGCCCTTTCTCATCATTCTTTCTGCAGCTAGATCTCTTAGCTGCTGGTGGGTCATTCTCCTTGAAGGCTTGCTTGCAGAGGCTTCCTATGTCTCCGAACTATGTCTTCTGCCACTTGGCAAATGCTGCACTTCTCCTATTTAATGTTTTTCTTTGCTTTAGTGTCAACTCTCCGAACATCTTACTTCAGTAACTAACTAATACAGCAGGCTCAAGTTGTTTGTGTGTTTTTACAATGAGCTTCTCCTAAAACCAAAGTCCACTCTGGCCGTCTTTGATGCAAATGAGCCAATTATATCAGATCTAGGGACTACTCTGAAGCCTGGGGGAATCAATTGGTTGTGACTCCTCTGCACAGTGCTTGGTCCAGGGTTTCCTCTGGGACACAGACAGTGACCCTCTAATTGCAGTAAGACAAGTACTGTGTGTGGAGGGGTTAATTGCTATTCAAAGTATGTAAAATAATGGGAGAGGTGCCTTGCGCCCATTGGAGAAGTAGGTTTTTTATACCATGAAACTGATAGTACTGTGTGTGCAGAAGATGGCAGTTACGATTTAAAATGTAAGTTCAGCTTAGTTTTGGTCTAACGTATTTTCAGTGAGAAATTTTTCAGAGGCATGCCCAAATGGAAGACAGATTCTGGCTCTGAACTCTTGCAAGAAGATCTCTCCATTTAGCAATTGAGACTAAAAGTCTTTACAGCTGTCTAGACATTTAGCCAGAAATTATCTGGTAAAATTCTTTTCCTTTGGAAGATAGCAGTTTGCCATCACAGTTTCTGACAAAAGTTTGTTTATGTCAGTCTTCTGAATCTACAATTTTGGAAAAAAAATAACTGTTAAAAATTCCTGTCCTGATAATTTTTTTTTTAAGTGTCATTATATCTCCAGTCATAAAAAATTTCTAAAGCCAAATATTTTTTGGAACCAAGTTTGAAACCTTTTTTTTATGTTGACATGAAATGAGATCATTGTTTTATTAGAAAGTGCTAAGATATTATTAGCATGATTCAATACAGTGGGCCTATGTCAGCATTAAAAAAGTGGCTGGGGAAACAAATGGAAGAAATATAAATTTATCAGAGGCTTTTTGGCAGGTCAGGAAGTCTCTGAACTTGTGCAGCTATTCTTAGGCTCCTAGATGTTCTTAACTGCTAGGAACAGGAAGTAACCAATGCAAGTTTTATTAGACACTGCCCAAAGATTTGAATTTAAATCAGAAATAACAACAAATAAGTAAAATGAAAACCTGAAACAGCAGAAGGTCATCAAAGTGATTCTGCTAAGCAAGACTAGAAATTAGTTTAGACCAGTATCCATCTCTGGCAAACTGCCCATAGCATATGCCTTTAAAAAGCCCAAAAACCAGGTCAAGGTGCAAGTGCCCTTTCCCCAGCGGTATCCTCCTGGAAACCATAAAACCTGCTCTTTCAGGATCATGAGTCAAAGATGCCATCTGTGTCATTGTGATTAACAGTTTCTGATGAACCTTACTTTCATGGTTTTGTGTAATTGTTTTTGAACTAATTTAAACTTCTGACTTTCAAAGCATTTAGTGGTAAAGATGTCCCCAGTCTGAATGAGTGTGGGTTGAAAGGAAAGCATCAAAAAAGTGCCTATCATGCCCAATAACCTCTTTTGTGGAATTCTTCTTGCTGGGTGTGATTCACATGTGACAAATTCCAGTAAAAATCAGAAGACAACCCACTGACAATCAATAGTATTGTGTTGTTGTAAAGCGTGTTTGCTAATAGAGTATATAAGTTAAAGCATGCCATGAGAAGAAAGGCTTTTGTCAATTGTTCTCAAGTCTTAATTTGATTTGTAAGACAAAGATGAAATTCCTGAAAATAATACCCATATATATGTTTTTAGCACCTGATGCTCCCTATACTCACTGGAAGCAAACTGTCTTCTACTTAGAGGACTACTTAACTGTGAGACGAGGAGAAGAAATCTATGGGTCTATATCCATGAAACCAAATGCAAAAAATGTGGTGAGTCAGCAACACTGATTCTAATTACAGCTCTGTTGATCACTAACTACAATCAACAGCAAATAAAATGCATAGAAGTAAAACAATAAGTATGCTAAAGGGTCTAAATTCATGTTTATTAGTCAGAGCTCTAGTCACAGCTCCACCAAAGCTGATGAAGCAATGCTAATGCAGTGCTAATGTTACAGAACTCAGCCTGCAAACAAGCTAACATGAGAAGGATGATTCAAGTACCTCACCAAGTCAGGTGTCCCCTGCAATCAGCATTGTGGCTCTCCATAGAAAATACAGATGTATTATTTAACTCTAAAGCTAAAGCATGATGGATATCACACTATCATGATCGGTAAAAACTTCCTCAATGTCTCTGCTCTTGGTTGAGTCCCTCACCAAGGATGCTGACATTGTTCAGTGCTTCTTTTAATGTATACAGAAACTACAAAACACGGTCTGATGGACAACCCATGCCTGTATAAAAAAGCAAGATATGAGAAGAATGGCTCCTGGGAGAAACAGTAGCACCATTTTCTGCTGAAAACCTTGAGCCCAATCTCTTCATTTTCTATTACAACATACAGCCAATAAAATAACCCAGTTATAACCCATCCATGCAGTTGCTGCAATTTTTTAAATATTGCATTTGTTGACTGTGGCAAATCTTAACATTTCACTGCCTTCATTTTTTTGCATGCTTTTTCCTTTATCTTTTTCTGTACCAAATACAGATTGGATATGTTTTTCATAGTAGGGTTGGTACAGGGGGAAAAATAAACACAAAATAAACTTGGCATTAAAACAGGCACATTCACTCCTGAAGCTACCGCTAGCTGTGAAAGTAGAGGAAAACAGTCTGTTTCCAATCTTTATGTTGTCCTTGAGGGACTCTTAACATTTTCTTTTGGATTGAATGTATTAATTTTCTTTTGAGGGAAAAATGAAGAAAATATTTCAAATCTGTTTGCACAGCAGTAAGCACATGAATGCAAATTTAGATGCTAAAATGAATGTGTACTTGATAATTATCATAAGACAGAGAGACCACCATAGTTCTAAATGATTTGTTAGTGCTTTTTTCTTCTGAAACATGAAGCTTTACAAAAGCTTGTAGAGACACAGCTTCTTTTTGTAGAGCTATGTAGTGTCTCTTTCCAAAAAACATGATGAAGATAAAGAATGACTGAGGTCTTCCCTACAGTAGAAAGTTTACTAGATCTATTCTGGAATAACTCCTACTGTGAAAGCTCTGTATCCTAGATTAAGAGCATCTCAATGGAGAATACCCTTAAAAAATATTATAGAATACGTATGATAGCACAGCATCTCAGAGTTCCTAGTTGTAACCAGAACACTAAATTAGTCTTAAGAACAATGCAAAAATATGCCCTGTATGGTGAATGCTCTTACATATCCTAGATCCTGCTTTTTCAGTGTTAGCAACATTTAAAAACAAAAAGAGCTAGAGTCCACAGCAGCTACCACTTGAATCTGCAGGTCTTTTCACCCTGAGCAAAGTTAACTGAATTCATACACTAAATTTATTATCTTACTTACATGTTACATTTAAATCTTTTTACAGCGTGACCTGGATTTCACAGTAGACTTGGATTTTAAAGGACAGCTATGTGAAATGTCAGTATCTAATGACTACAAAATGCGCTAGCAAGAAACCTTTCAGAGAGATAAAAAGGAGAATTTTATCAAGTCCTGAACTGCTGAACTTCAAGCTAGGAACAACTGTTCACAAGATTATTATATTAAATACTAGAATGTTTACTCTGATGGAAGGTGGAAATCCGATCTTTCTTGCAGACAGTACAGGGGGCTGGGATCCCACTGTGAATGTACAGTATACAGAACTGTAGCTTTTGTCAAACATATCTTGAATGTTCTGGTTGACTTTAGGATGGCAGGAGATGCATATACAAATTGTACTACTTACTGTGAATTTCTGGTTCTTCCAAGCTTTGCATGCTAAAGATGACTAGGGCAGTTTTCTCACTATGAAAGACCACTACAGCACATTACTCTGATAGTATTACTGGACTTATATTCAATATAAATGAATATATATATAGTACATGAGAAAAAATGTCATTTCATAATAGGAATTTGTTTTGTGATTATTTAATTCTCATTATGCAGTTATGGAAAGATATGATGGCACTGCTCTAGACAGTGATATATTCCATTAACTGTCCAAAGTTATAGCTTTGGTAAATATTCCATGCAAAGTGTAGATAAGAGCTGGGCATTTACAGAAAGGTCCGCAACTATCTTTTTGAATGTCCTCTGGGAAATATGGACCATTAGTTTTAAAATTCACCTTCACAACTGGATGTCTGTCAGAGCTTTAAAAAACATTAGCTTTTTATCCTTGAAAATATTCTGTGGTTAGTTTTTATAGCTGGATTTTGCATGAGACCTTCTGAAATCAGACACCTAGTGTTTAAATGTGATGAATGCAAAGTCTCTGAAATGGTGGGTAATTCATGTTTCTTGGCCATGTCATTATTTCAGTTTTTTGCAATATTCTTAATGCAAAATTATTTATTTTTTTAATAGGAATTAGTGTTTCCTTTTGGTGATGTTCTAGATAAGTTTTAAATTACAAATACTATTCTAAAAAGTGCAGTGATTTGCAGGAACAAGCTTACGTCTTTTAAAAAATGTCTATGGCTTCTGATATTACTAAGATGCTTCCCCATCCCCTTATACCCCTTGTTTTTCTTACAATATCTCCTGCTTATAGTTAAAATATTAACTGCCTATAATTCTTCATACATATGTATCAAGTCTTTTTATTATATGAACGTTGACCATTTAATCCCATGTAATTGGTCAAAAACTACATCATCAGTCCTATCTACTCATTTTCCAGTCTGTCTGGCATTGGGCACTAAGTCATGTTCCATCATGTACTGGATGAGATTGACTAGTTTTTTTGCCTAAAAATCTTTTTAATCACCTGCAAATAAAGCATACTTGAAGATGTATTTTGCCAGTATTTGTCAACTTTTCACTTTTTAGAAACCTATTTCTATTGTTTTTCCCTTCACAAAAACTGTACAGTGCCTCCATTTTCTTATGGTCTAAAGATTATGGTCTAGGGATTGTATCACATGGTATCTATGTAGAATTAAATTAAACTGTAATTCAGCAGTAAAAGATACTGTTTGAAGTGTAGTTCATCACTGTTGTTTTAAAACACTTTGATTTCATTTTCCTGGAACGAGGTTGAACAGCATTCCTCACAAAATAACTAGGATTTTATCTGTCAAAATTGCTGTCATTTTCAAAGCATGAGTTTATAGCTAGATCAGCTACTCTTTCAGTAATGACTTGGACCAAAAAAACCTCTAGAAGTCCCTTTCTACTAACACTTCTTTGATTCTAGGTCTTTAAGGTAAGGAATTCTACCAGTTTTTTTCTCCGCCCCCTCCATTTATATAAAGATAAAGTTTAAAGAAATCAGTGTTTTCATCATCTCCTTTGCCAGTAATCATTGAGCATACTGTTACTGAAAGCAGAAAGACTCTTGCTTTGCTTGTCTAACTTACACTTTGACAACACTTCAAACCATCCACTTCTCTTGCTCACTGCATGAATCTTTAATATTTTTAATATTAAAGGAATAATAAAGAAGGGGAAAAAAACAAACCCACCTTGTTTAAAAAAAAGACAAATCACACAAAAAAATAATTCACAAAGGTCTGCCTGCCTTTACTGAGAATGTGTCATTTTTGCCTGACAGAAAGCATTGGACAAAAAGCAGCAAAGAAAGTTGATGAGAACAGCACATTAATCAGTCCGAGAGGTATTTTAAGCACTGCTGTGTACTGCCCTTTCTGCCTCATCTTTCACCTAATGACAGTGAAACGTGTGTCTCTCTTCAGCAGTGGCCACCTTGCCTTCTTACTAGAAGTGCCCATTCACTTTAGTGTTGCAAGATTAAGTCCTTGCTGATATTATTAATGGCACAGTTCTGGGGTGATGACCAGACTTCAGTCGCATTCAGCCCTGAGAAACTGGTTTGTGTTTTTCTTCACATCAGAAGTATACCACCTATTTCTCCATCACATGGAGAACTGAGAGTGTCTACTTGCAGTGCTGAATATCTTCAAATCACAGTGATAATAAAAAATTAATTTAGGCTTCCAAGGCCATTATAGGCCTTTGCCCAGAATATAGAAAAATATATTATCTAAGACAGCATGTTTTTACTACAGAGCTAGTTTGAAGAACCTTGACAGAGATAATTTCTTACAGGATTTGTCTTAAATTTAATATTAATTCCTAAATTAATTCACCACATACAGATTTGATTGTAAATAATCAAGAGAAACTTCTTTCACTTAGACAATAATTTTATAAAGGATGCATGGTATCCTATGTATATAATGAAGAATAAATCCCTGCTTTAAGAAGATAATCTAACAGTCACTCTTTTTTACCTTTAAAATACATCCCACACATACTACTTACATAAAAATACATATTTATGCTGTCATTTCAACATCTTGTCAATAACACTGTAAAAGGCCCAATTCATATGGATTGAAGTCAGTGTAATAGAGGACAATCTGTGTTGTATAATCAGCAACTTCAACTGCTCTGCATACTGGTAGCTGTAACATTCTCTGTGATCAGAATGCACTACAAACCCTGTTGGTTTTTGTAAGTGTAAATATCACTTAAGAGAGAAAGATTTACTTAACAAAAGCACGTCCCACTGTCACTGGTATAACAGACAAAACAACACAGTATTATAGTTACTTTCAAATTACAAAGCGCCATGAGGGTTAGACAAATGGGACTACTTCGCAAAGAGCCACCTTTTCCCTGAAAAGGACCTGGCTCTGTTTTCACTGTAACTCCTCATTAGATACTGGAAAATATAATTAGTTCCCATCGTAGTCCCCTCATGGTAGCTCCTCTCTTACCTATACAATCCTACCTTTTCACACAAATTACACCACCTGTAATCTCTCCTCTCCTGTTTTCCTTCTAACAGAGGCTAAAGATATATTGCTGCTGTTAAACACTGCTAACAAATGTATCTAAGGGATTTGCAAAGAATGTAACTCCAAAGGTCACTAATTGAAGAGAACTTCAGGTTCTCTTACTGTGTTGTGTTGGTGGCATGGTGGACACATTTTACGAGTAATTTTCAGGTCAGCATATGAGATGTAAGTTTAAGCCACTGTGTGCATTCGCCTAGTTTGAACATGCAACAAAGCCAGGTGATTTCATTTTCAACAGGCATTTAAGTATTCACAGACTAGTTTCAACAAAAAAAGCAGGTTTTTAGTCTTTTCAGAAACATTTCCCTTCAATGTTTCTCAGAGATCATCTCAGCTATTAATCCCCAAAGCACACAGGCAGGTGGGATAAAAGCAAGTATTTTAGAAAATATCTAAACTTCCTAAAAAATGTGTGAAACTAAGCACTTACAAATCTTTCAAAAAAGCAACTAAAGAAATAAGCGTGATGTTTCAGATCTGGTATAACAATATGTTTGTTTTCTAATAGCCTCATTGATAAGAGAAAAAAGCTTCATTACTTTCAAGTATTTTTTCATATACTGCTTTAGAGTAAAGAGGATGTATAGATGACCTCTCATCAGCCAGAGATTCCCCAGAATATTGCCATTTCTGCACAGTATGGTGACTGAGGTGATCTAGGGCAGTAGCATGCCTGCAGGGAACAAGACTGTTCCCAGAAAACAACGGCTACTTCTGGGATAGACACAAAAAGGGTAAAAAAGACACGTACTGTACACAGCTGAGATGGAGAAAAAGGCAGATCACAGCTCACAGATGACTGCTAAAGTGGAGCACCTGTCCTTTTGACAAAAAATTATTCCAGGGTCAAGATACTGCTGAAGGGAAAGGAAAAGGTTTTTTATGATCTCAAAATTGTTACAATCTCTGCCATTCTCCTCATCTGTCTTTCCAGTCTCTGCAAGTACTGATATAATTTCCCTGACTACCTTCCTTTTCTCTTTTCTTAGTTTGTTTGATATTTTTCTAATTTTTCAGTGGAAACAAACATTGGAGATAAGTGATGACGCAAGCAACATGAAGATAGCATTTTTTGAGAAAGCTTGGACAGATGTGATTGTGAAACAGAAAGAAACTGTGTTAGCTTTGAGATGACAACTACAACCAAAAATCAGTCTTACTTCCTCACAGTACCTACAGGTTTGGGCTACAATCCAAGACATTCCTCTGAATCACCAAACATGGTCTTTTAGACGCAGCAGTCAGCAAAATCAAGGCTGAGCAGACCCCTGAATCCACATGTGGAAAACAGAACATCAGTTCAGCTGAGAACAGTTCGGCTCTGTGCTTGCAAGTCCAGCCACTTCCATTTACTCAAACGAACCATCGACATTTCCAGAGCAACACAGACCTAGAACCCGAAATGGACCCTTGCATTAAGGTCACAACAGCGTTTGTTCACAAACCACACATGCCTTACCATTTTGATGCAGAAATATGAAATGGCAGTCCAAAAAGGCATATGTAACTCCTTAATTAACAGTAACTTGTAATGCTCATCAGTTAGCAGAAGTGCTTTATCATCATAGTGGCATATTTTCCACATTTATTGGCATGACAAATCAATGTCATTAGCTAATGAGACCTGATTAAAGCAAGAACTATTTTCTTCTGTAATTGTCTGATTATGCTATAATTGCTATTATCACCACTGACAGATCATCTCAGAAAAAAATAGCTCACTATTTTGCCTGCTTTCCTATGGGGTGAGTGTAGGTAGGCAAGCAACATTAAGTGCCATGTGAAGCTGGAGCAGCAGCATGTAATGGATAGAATTTGTGTATCCAGTAGTCAACAACAAAACACA